TCAAACTTGAGTAACCCGCGGCTTGGAGGATCAGACTTGAGTGACCCGCGGCTTAGAGGGTCAGACTTGAGTGATCCACATTTTTTAATCTTTTCGGCCGTCGTTTTGTACTTTAGTCTCCATACTTTGTGCAGTCTTGGTGGCTTCTTTTCCACTTCTTTCTTCTGTAATTTTTCGGCTTCTTGCACAAGAATTCTTACATGCACAAGTAATGCACGGCGTTTCTGAATTCGCTCCTGAAGAGTTGAGCGGGTCCTTTTGACGCGGACCCATTCATTCTTCGCTGGTTTGGAGGAGGGGTTGTTCGCTCACTGTTGTGGCGGTCGGCGCCTTCTGGATTTCAGATCCGCTTCGTAGCGAATCCCGTCAACTGGCTTTAAAGCCTTAGCAAGTTGGCGCGCAAGTCGTTGGCGTTGCCTTTGGCGTGCCCTCTTTGATAGAGTTGACGCGCCTTCAACGATCGACTCCTTGATGGAGGAAGGGTACAGATCTACAGCTACAGCCTCGTTAGTGGCCGAAGGGGCGTTGCGAGGCTCAAGTGTAGCAGCGGCGAGGAGATCTTCTTTTTGGATCTTCGAACCTAAAGTCCAACGAGCTTTCTTGGAGGAGGTCTTTCTGCATCTGCTAGGAGAGGCGGATCTGGAGGAGGATAAGTACTTCTCGTACTTCTGCTGGTCGAACTCATATTTGACCTCTTCTTCAACCGGGATGAGGATCCGAGGTTGCAACACATCAGCCTTCGCAAAAAGGCTGTCGGCTCCTACTGTGGTCGCCAGTTTGTTTTCGTCAAAAGTAGTTTTCATTATCGAGTTCATTACAACTTTGATCGTTTATAATGAATTCAAATAACAAAAATAAAGATTACAACTTTCTAGACAACTTTGATCGTTTATAATGAATTCAAATAACAAAAATAAAGATTACAACTTTCTAGAAAATAAACACAAGAACTGTTTATCAACACAAAAATAAAGATTACAACTTTCTAGAAAATAAACACAAGAACTGTTTATCAACTCTTGCTTGTGTGGGCTCTTCACCTGTGTTGGAGATATTGATATCCGTGGACTGCCACGGATCAGATCCGGTTGTCAGAAAATTAACGGAGCTCCTACTTCACCAAGAAAGTATTGGCTTGAAGCACTGAAATTGACCAAGAGAAATCGATACCTCTTCTCGAGATCAAGACCAAGCCTAATCTCAAGGAACGGATGGGGGGGAATACGGGTTCAAATCCTTTGAAAACCTTCCTCTTTATGCTGAAATTCACCGGGATCTGACTTGCTTTCGTTGTAAATTCGTGCTCCTTGACTCCTCAATCCAGCAACACCTCGTCCTCTTGATATAAATCGCCCCTCTCCCTAAGAAATGAGCCCCTAGGCCTGTATTTATAGGCTTTGGTTGGGGGGTTTTTGGATAAGAACGATGGATTTGACATTATCCTCAGTTGATAACCTTGTAACCATGTTTGGAGATGATATCTAAGCGGTTAGGAAACTTTGGAACAGAAGAAATCTCGTGAAAACAGCAAAATACGTGTTTTGGACGTTCTGGACAACTTTGGGCGTGGGACAGACCACAGTGACCCATGTGTGCGTGGGTCACTAAGAGGTGACCCGCGTGGCCGCGGGTCACCAGGAGGCATGCGCAACTGCGGGTCACCAAGAGGTGACTCGGGCGCCACGTGAGTTCCGAACTTCTTTTGAGTTCTTTCGGTGTTTCCCGACTTTCTCAGACTTGTACTTTTTACCGATTTGCGTATTTGGTTGTCTTATTGACTTGTACGTTTCGCTGGTTGATGAGCGCGAGCTGACTAACGAGCGCGAGCTGACTGACAAGCATGTTCGGTCACTTGGAGCTGACCGACGCGCGCGAGGTGACTGATGAGCGCGTTCGGTCACTTGGAACTAACTGACGCGCACGAGCTGGCTGATGAGCGCGTTCGGTCACTTGGAGCTGACCGACGCGCGCGAGCTGACTGATGAGCTCGTTCGGTCACTTGGAGCTGACTGACGCGCGCGAGCTGACTGACGGGCGTGTTTGGTCACTTGGGACTAACCGACGCGTTCGGTCACTTGGAGCTGACCAACAAGCGCGGGCCACTCGAATAATCCTTCTTGACTTGGATGATGACGTTTATCGCCTTCTCTTTATCTCGAGCTGCGTGCGGACACCTATATGCATTTTTAGACGCCTACAATATATATATATATATATATATACTATATAGTACTATACTATATATACTATATAGAGGCAGAGAGAGAGAGAGAGAGAGAGAGAGCAGTGTGTGTGTGTCATGCTAAAACCCTACCTCCCGTATGTGGACTAGTAAGGGGCTCACATGCCGTATTAGTATACTCTAATTGTGGAAGTACTGTATCTGTCATGTAGAGCCC